GTCTGTTTGTCTTCCAGTTCCTCCCAAGTTGCATCTTACCCTGCAGCCTATATTTCCAACGTGAAATAAAGCAGCAGCAAATGAAGACAACTTTACTTGTGCTGAATGTGTTTTTAAATGAGAAATTACCCCAAGAAATGGAAGCCAGACTCTTATTACCCCACACAGTCAATTTTATGTACCAAATTAACCTTAGGAGTGGTGCACCAACGCATGGAGTTTACTAAATATGTAGAGGTTACTGACAAAGTTCTTTCAGAAAATAAATAGAAACCTCCTCTAGGAAAAGAGATTTCCCGGGGTTTGTAAATTTTTTACAGCCCAAGACAAACAACCTCATGTTAAAGACACAAAACAGGAGAAAGTGACTACAAATCATATATAAAATTCTTTGCTGGAAAGTGTAACACCATTTTCTGTGCAAAGCCGACTTACCTTTATCCAAGTCCAGCTTTGAAGCAATTCATGGATGGGAAGGAGTTGGCAGAACACGCACTAATAATTGCCCATGTGAAAAAGGAAAGTTTTACCCTCACTCCTTCTTTGTTGAGAGAACAAAGCCCTGAAGGATTTTTTAAATCTCCCAACAATCTCCACTTGTACCCTTGCAAAAAGTGATAGTTGGAAGAAACTGAATTGGACTCTGTGTTTTTTCAGGCATCATTTCCTCAGTGATTGCTTTAAGCTTCTAGAAATTGGCAATTTAATAGAGAAAATTATTACTCATTCTTTTAGAGACACCAAAATACTTCAAAAATTATTTCCAGATGGTAGAGACTACAGGTCTTGGCTGAAGTGTGTATTTATGTATTAGGTATTTTAAAATCAGGGAAAAAACATTTAAACATGAGTTTACATAAAATTCATTCAAGTACAGGCTGAACAAGCATTTCAAGAAGTTCTTCTGTGTGTTTCTTAACAGAGAAGTTTTGATGAATTAAAACCCCCATAGGTTTTTTCTTCATTTCACAATAAATGAGGACGTTTAGAACATACCTTGATGAACTGTGTGACACCAGAAATCAAAACTGGGTGATGCTACACAGGATTGTTCATGCTCAAAGAACTTAACTCCTTACCTCCAAAGCTGGCTGAAAGCACCTGTTCCACCACCAACACATGAATCCTCTTGTCACTTTTTATTAAAACGTCGCTGTAAATGACTTTAAGAAAAAGACCATAAAAATACTTACATTGCATCGACTTTATCTTCTGGGCCCTGAACTTGGCCTGTCACGGTTCCTTGGCTGGTATTTTTAACCCAGCCAACCACTCCTAATTTCCTGGCTTCTTCTTCTGTGTACTGGTTTGGGAAATAACGAGAGGACAATCAGTGCCAGCACAACACTCACACCCCCACTTCTACTTTTCACAGCTGTTACTGTGAAAAAATACTACACTTCATAAAAATCCCTGGGTGATGCTCATGCTCAGGCATTCAGTTATTCCTGTCAGCTCTGGAGCTGCAGCAGGAGCAGCCAGTTCTCAGAAGAGAATGAGGTTTTGATCACAAAGAACTCTGCTAATCCCACACCATTCCCTTGTACCTACTTCATTCCTTTCTATGGCTCCCATCACTGCTCATCTTCCTGTTCAACCACCCCAGTGTTTAAACTCGTTGAACTTGCTACATTTACAAATTTCATAGTCCTTTTCCTCCAGTTCCTTTTTAAATCCTTTCCACCTGACTTTCACCCTTTAAATCCTAACCCCAACTCCTACATTTCTGAACAGCAGCAAAGGAAATCCAATTCTATTGGTTTTGTAGCATTTTTGCAATACCAGAACAAATTCTGGTTTCCCAGCCACTCACTCCTTGTGATGAAATCCACAACTTCCAAGTACCTTCTTTCTTGAGGGTTTTTCTTTTTCATTTTTTTCAAATACATATAAAACATAAACATAATCTGTCTCTGAACACTGAAATGATAGGGAACAGAAAGCCTGTTTTGCAGAAATCCATTAAATTTTTGTTCAGTGTAGGGCAATAGCCATAACACAATTTTATTCATCAATTTATTTGCAGTAAAGGTACCTCGTTAAATACAGGTACCAAAGAGCCCTTTTAAAAAATTAAACTTGTTTCAGGAGCCAATATCAACAGCTTCAGATTTCACCTCTCTAAAGATCAATGTGTTGCAACGTTTTTTGTTGCTGTTAATCCAAACACAATCTTTAGATACTACACAAAGAATACATTAATAAGCTTTTAAAAATCCATTTTAATAGAAGACCATTTTCCTCCTTTTAAATCGACTCAAGTACTTAACCAACTAACCTAGAACTCAAAGTTCAAGTTGGATATATTTACACTGTACAGACCTGCTGCCATATTTTTAGCACTGGAAATATTATACTATAAAGTACAGCTGGTAAATGCAGCATTGCCTTACCATCCTGAAACAAACACCTAGAAGAGAAAGAAAATAAGTATTAAGATAATAAAATTATATAAATAATTCGAAAGCATGCCTCTTGTAGGAATTTCACCTGATATAGAAGGGCAATAAGCCACATACAAGTCATTTGTGCTGTTTCATCACACGCTATCGTAGTTATTCGTGGTGTTTTATCCACTTCAGAACAGTTGCAAAATCAACGTTACACAAACTGCACACGTTTTAGGCACACGCTGGCTTTCGGTAAACGATTGTCTCCATTGATACATTTAGTGTCAATGAAGATGCTGCAGTGTGTGAATGGAGGGGGGGGGGGCTTTCCCACACAACCGCGCCGACTGAAGCCACGAGGGCAAACATGGTTAATGGGAACTGCTCTGGATAGAATGGCCTGTGCTTTCGCGGGAGGAGGCGAGCTTTAGACCTGGGGAACACTTACAACGTGTTCTACTTTTTAACCTTTCCCGTCCCAGGGGAGTCGGGGCAGCCGCTCCCGCCTCTTCCCCCATGACGTTCCCGCCTCTCTTCCCAGGGCGCTCCCGCCTCCCGCATGCGCGCTCCCGCTGCCGCCGCAGCCCGGAGCCCCTCGCCCCCTCAGCGCATCTCACCCCAGCCCGTTATTACCTTGCACTCGCCCGAACACTTCGTAATCCACCGACTTGAGCGCGCCGGAGGCTTTGGCCAGGGCGGACATGGCAGCGCCAGAGGAGGAGCCGCTGCGGCGGGGCCCGGTGCTCCGCGGGCCGGCAGCGCCCGGACGGCAGCGCGAGAGGCCCAACCTTCCCGCGTCAGCGGCCGCCGCACGGGAATGGGAGGGCACTCAGGGCACCCCCGAACCGGGCGCGGACAGGGAGGGAGACACCGGTCCCTCCGTGAGGGGAAAAGCCTCTTCCCCCATGAAGGAGGAACAGACCTGAGAGCGAGGAGTGACAGCGCTTGTCCAGGGAAGGGAGGGAAACGCACCTCAGGGCCGAGACCGCACCTCCCGTGAAAGGAAAACACATCACCCCACGCCCGAGACGGCTCCTCCCGTGAAGGGAGAGCACCCCACGCCCGAGACCGCTCCTCCCGTGAAGGGAGAACACCTCACCCCACGGCCGAGACCGCTCCTCCCGTGAAGGGACAGCACCCCACGGCCGAGACTGCTCCTCCCGTGAAGGGAGAACACCTCACCCCACGCCCGAGACGGCTCCTCCCGTGAAGGGAGAACACCCCAGAGCCGAGACGGCTCCTCCCGTGAAGGGAGAGCACCTCACACCCGAGACCGTTCCTCCCGTGAAGGGAGAGCACCTCACACCCGAGACCGCTCCTCCCGTGAAGGGAAAACACCTCACCCCACGGCCGAGACCGCTCCTCCCGTGAAGGGAGAGCACCCCACGGCCGAGACCGCTCCTCCCGTGAAGGGAGAGCACCTCACACCCGAGACGGCTCCTCCCGTGAAGGGAGAGCACCTCACACCCGAGACCGCTCCTCCCGTGAAGGGAGAGCACCTCACACCCGAGACCGCTCCTCCCGTGAAGGGAGAGCACCCCACGGCCGAGACCGCGCCTCCCGTGAAGGGAGAGCAGCTCACCTCAACCCCGAGACCGCTCCTCCCATGAAGGGAAAACACCTCACCCCACGGCCGAGAGCGCTCCTCCCGTGAAGGGAGAGCACCTCACACCCGAGACCGCTCCTCCCGTGAAGGGAGAGCACCTCACACCCGAGACCGCTCCTCCCGTGAAGGGAGAGCACCTCACACCCGAGATCGCTCGTCCCGTGAAGGGAGAGCACCTCACACCCGAGATCGCTCGTCCCGTGAAGGGAGAACACCTCACACCCGAGACCGCTCCTCCCGTGAAGGGCGGGAAATCCACCTCACGGCCGAGATCGCTCCTCCCATGAAGGGAGAACACCTCACCTCACGCCCAAGATCGCTCCTCCCGTGAAGGGAGAGCACCTCACCTCAGGGCCGAGACCGCTCCTCCCGTGAAGGGAAAACACTTCACCTCCCGCCCGAGACGGCTCCTCCCGTGAAGGGAAACACTTCACGCCTCAGAGCGCTCCTCCCGTGAAGAGAGAACGCCTCACGGACCGAGGGCGGGAAACCGCTCACGCCCTGAGGGTGTCGGCGCCGCAGCCCTGAGGGTCAGCCACAGCCCCCGACAGCCCCTTCGGCAGCAAAAGCCACCACAGCGTGTGGTGCAGTCCTTCAGAACCCTCACATGCTATTCTTACTTCTATTTCAGAGCAGAAATACTTCGAGAGGACTGTCTTAACATCACCGTCTCCAGTTTCAGCGCTGACACTGCCACGTATTCAACTCACCTGAGGTTCCCACCTCAAGCATCCAGTGTACAGGTAACTATTATTAAGCTTTTTCAGGAATCATCCAGATTAATTGTTCTCCGTACATGGGTGAACTGAGGTAATTCTGCCTGATAATGTGGGAAGCTACATAGTTGAAAACTAAAACACAGCAAGAAAACCCCTGAGCATCCATCCCCGTCAAAGCTACGTAACAGACTTCCCTCATGTCTCCACATGACTTAAGCCTTCACACAGAGATTTATCAGCCTGTTTCTATTCCCTGTGCTAGAGCAAATCCTAAGCTCAGCTAGAGCAGCAGACCTTGTAGATAGCAAACTCACCTCATGCAAACCATTTACCCAACCAGTTTTCATCAGCAAACCTTTCCAGAAGTGTCACCACATAATTTCTTTTATCTATATGCCACATGTGCAAAAACAAAGTCAAAAATTGGTTATTTAGTAGGCTGAGTCTGCAACCAAACACCACAAAGGCTTTTTTTCTCCAGAGTGTTCTAAGTCTGCTTGCAGTTTAACTCTTCCCGCCACCACCACCATATTTGCTTTTAAAGAGTGTTTTCAGGCAGAATTTTACACTAGAAACAGCATTTAACCAATCTGAGGAAATAAACTTGACCCTCTCTTATTCAACAAGTAAAGGCAAGTTAACTGACTGTACAATACAAATCAAAATAATAATTTTATTTGCTTTCCCCATTAAGCAATTCCCTTCCACGTACAACTTTGTGTCCTGCAGTAATGCAGCAGAACCCAAACTGCTCACAGGTTTGCATCTCAAGACTAGCGGGAGGTTCTAGGATCCCTAAGTTAATAACTCATACTTCAGCATTGCCACATTTTTCACATGTCAGAGAAAAATATTGATTTCCAACATGAAACAAAACAGCAGCAACTGAAAACAAGGATTTGCTCTGAATGTGTTTTTAAATTAAAAATTATCCCAAGAAATAGAAACCAAACTCTGACTGCCCACACAGTCAATTTTGTGTACTAAATTAACCTTAGGAGTGGTGCACCAACACATGGAGTTGACTAAATATTTAGAGGTTATTGACAAAGTTCTTTCAGAAAATAAATAGAAACTTCCTCTAGGAAAACAGATTTCCCGGGGTTTGTAAATATTTCACAGCCCAAGATAAACAACCTCATGTTAAAAACACAAAACATGAGAAAGTAACTACAAATCATATATAAATCTCTTTGCTGGAAAGTGTAACACCATTTTCTGTGCAAAGCCGACTTACCTTTGTCCAAGTCCAGCTTTGAAGCAATTCATGGATGGGAAGGAGTTGGCAGAACATGCACTAATAATTGCCCACGTGAAAAAGGGAAGTTTTACCCTCACTCCTTCTTTGTTGAGAGAACAAAGCCCTGAAGGATTTTTTAAATCTCCCCCCAATCTCCCCCTGTACCCTTGCGAAAAGTGATAGTTGGAAGCAACTGAAGTTTGTATTTTTTTTTCAGGCATCATTTCCTCAGAGAAACAGCGTTTAAGCAGCCTTAGAAGATAAACTCAACCTTCTCTTACTCAGCAGGTAAAGGCAAGTTAACTGCAACTTCACAATAAAACTGAAATAATAATTTTGTTTGCTTTCCCAATTAAGCAATTCCCTTCCACATACAAATTCCTGTCCTACAGCAATGCAGCAGAACCAGAGTTGTTCTGAGGTTTGGATCTCAAGAGTAAAGGGAGGTTAAAAATGCATAAAGCCCTAGAGAAATAATACAATTACTTTTTCAAGACACACCAGTTAACTAGATAAACAACTATTCAATTCAGCACAGGACACAAATATTCACATAAATCAGAACACTTCCAGCATCACAGCAAACAGGACCACAACGGACAAAGTTTTATCACTAACTATATGACACTTTAAACCCTTGCCTTTCACAGGGGCCACACATCTCACTGGTGTGGAACCAGCACCATTTTATTTCGGAAGAGGAGGATTCCACAGAAAGAAGAACAGAACACAGGACAAACAGCAAATGCTTTGTAATTTGCTGCCATCTGGCAGCAGTGAAGAGCAAGACAGGTAAGAAAATAGATTTACAATAGTAACCTAATTACACCACAAAGCCACACTCCAGTCTACCTCCTGCTATGGTCTTGTTGCAGAAAAGTCAGTTTGAGAGAAGTTTTTATTTGTCATAAGAACACCTCACCACCTTTTCCCCAGACAACCTCAAGTTTCTTATTACTTCCTGGCAAGTAGTAAAGCCTGGAGAGCACCAAAAGATGAGACTTCGAAATATTTCGTATTTTACAGCCAAAGTAATCAATAGCAAAAATCAAGCACTATTCAAATTCCTTTGTTAACACAAAAGCTTTAGCACATGCTACCAAGAAACACAGGCAGTCTGCATGAAGCTTTGAATTCCCTTCCCACTTCCAGGTGTTTACTCTAAAGTAGCAAAGCAGGCCTAGTAAGAATCAGTTGGTTGCAATTCCTAAAGCTGCTGCCAATTGTAAGAGAGTCCTAAACAGCTCCAGCTGTTGAGGCACAAGACACCCTCTTTGATTACACTGCAGAGGAGTGCAAACGATTATGAACCTGCAACAAGCAGATTGTATTTTGGGATGGGTAGAACTTGTGCTGCAATAACACGTGCAGATCACATGGAGATGCAAACCCAGTCTCAGAGTGCGGCCAGCTTCCCTGTTGCCGCATGCTGGGCTCAGTTTGCTACTCAGTAAATCAGGGTGACCTATTTATTACTCAAGCAAAGCAGCAACCGAAATTCCAGGCTGCAGTGAATTCCAGCAACATTGTGGTGCTAATTTGCCCAGGCCTTTGCTACACTCAGAGCAATTACTTCTGTAAGATTTCTCCCTCATTTCACCTTAACAAGGTCACTTTTTCTGTTCTGATCACTTAAGAACTCAGGCCTGGGCTAACCAGCTTTTACTCTACTGCCTCTTGCAGAAGACACTGCTTTGTATTCTCACCTCTGATTGACTTTTACTCCAAGCACAGTGCTATCAAGGAACAGCTGCTGCTACAACTTCAGCTTGTACACAAGGGTTCCTCTGTTCTGGAAGCTGCCTAGAATGGAGATTTCCCTAGCAAGTGTTTTTACAACTGGGAAAACTCCATTTTAGGCAGGGCCAATTTCACCACCAGGCTATCTGCCCCTCCTCTGAGCATTAAACCTTTAAAAAAATCCTTCCAAAACTCCCTCCAAGCACAAAAACATTTCCTCACAATATTGCTTTTAGCCAGGGCATAAAAAAAATTAAAATGGACATAGCAAGAAACATTATTATCGGAAAATACCAAAACCCTCCAATAGTGCCACTGCAGCCAAACATTAGGGAACACCACAAACACAGCTATGCAAGGAGCCACCTCAGCACCTCAGTAACAACAGCCTCACAGTACCTGGGCACACAGAGCCAGGGGGTGGCAGCAGGATCCCTCCAGGAGCAGAAGGCTGGGCTGGAAACACAGCTACAACTTCCAGGTAAAGTGCAGCCAGGAGGAAAAGCTGAGAGCAGCACCAAAGACAAGCCTTCCTGGAATGTGAACGGAGCAGCTCTGCTCAGGCCTGAGCTTAAATACAGCCCTGCATCAAGGGGCAGAGGGGGCGTGAGGGGGCCCCAGGTGAGACTGGTTGGGTCCAGGTGAGACTGGTTCGGGGGGATTAGACCCATCAGTGCCCTTGACACCGTCCACTACCAATAAAAAATAATTTGGTAAAAGAAGCTGCCTGTGATGGCATTTCTGTGCTCCTGCTGCCTTTTAGTGTAAGAGTTTCTTGGTTCATCTTTAGCTGTGCAGCTCTGTGTACCTGAACCAAACTCTACAACTGATTCACTTGCAAATGGTCCCCAGGTGATTCTGATGAGTGTTTTCCCAGAGGACACCAAGGCCTCTGGATAAAAGAAGCCATTGCTGCGGTTGCCAAGTTTTTGCTGTTACTTAGAAACATAGAATACCTGGAAAGAAGGTTAGAAGCTATGTAAGCTTAGTTTGGCCTTTTCAGCTTCTTTGTTTTTCCACTTCTTTTTTGTAACTTGTATTGCATGTCAGTTTTTATTTTCTTTTCTTAAAGATAATGTACTGCCCTTCCTTTTATGCCTTTTTCTTCAGGCAAAATTATAAACGTCTTCTCTTCTTCTTTTCTTTATTCCCAGATGGGGTTTTCCTCCCTCCTCTGTAACTTTATTTCCGAATGAAAGCTAATAGGATTGCTGACTCTGCTTCAAAGCTGTACAAGCTTCTTCAGGGCCTTTTTTGCAGTCCTTATTTACATCCCATCTAAATACACAGAAAACCTTTTGAAGGCTTAACCTCCCAGTTTTTCTTTCTGCAGTTCACTGGTTATCAGTAACTTTCTTCTTTCCAGCACTAAAGATAAGATTTGGAAGCCTGAAGTCCAAGGCAAACTCACAGAGGGTTTCTTACAGAGCTTTGGTATGCTTTCTTCATTCTAAGATATAAAACAATGGTTTGTTGCAGGATTTCTGAACAGAAATGTTATGACTGTGCAGAACTAAATATAACCTAACTTTTATCCTATAAGCTTTAGCACAGGACAATGCAGCATTCCTGGTACTATAAGGCTGTAGAACTGCAAAAACTTAAATTCAAGCACATAAATTCCATAGAAACTTTGAGGAGGATCTGCCTGGTTACTTATGTTTCAATTATTGCTGTGTGGCCTAAAGATAAAGGTCAAAGGAAAGAAAGGGTGAAGGAAATACTGTGCTTGGTTTTGAAAGAGGATTTGATTACCTTCTGGATAAATCAGAAATAACAATGGGGCAGTAATAAAGGGCAGACAGCAAATAACAATTGTTGTAATACTGGCTTGGTGGTTGAGTGATGAATGACTTCACAGGTGGATCTACAGTGTGCCCACAGCACAGGCAGGTGACCTGCTTACCACACTTGTCTCGTGATTCATTTATGAGACAGGAACCCGACCCGTGTGGGAGGACCCCCCACCTGTGCAGCCCACTCAGGCAAGTGCAGGGTGTGCAGGGTGAGATCCTGCCCACACAGATCCGATGTCAGGGCTGCAGCCAAACCCTGTGTGCAGGGACCTAAATCTGTCCCTCCCCTGCTCCAAAATCCTGGACTGCTTACGTAAAGTAACCCGAGTTCCCTGGTGACAGGTACGGAACTGGGAGCCTCTTGTTTTCCTGCGGCCAGGCTACATTTTGTGTTAGTTTGGGTTTATTTTTGTGTGGTATCCTGATTCTGTCTAGTCACAGAATCACCCTGTTCACAGCTTGATAATTTTGTTTGACACCTTCTAAATATATGAATATTTGATGAAATCAAACTTCTGTCCCCTTTGCAACAGGTTTTTATCAATGCCTTGTTTTGCTTAACACTTCTCCACACTCCTCCAAGGCAACAAACCCTAAACCTCCACCAACAAAAGAATGTGAAAACAAAGTGCAGATTTTTTCAGTCTAAATTAAGCTTTTTAAAGTTTTTTCATTGACACATAAAAAGAAATATTCTTCAGGTAAGTAGTAAAATTTTAATCTGAAATCATAATAAGGAACTAAACCACTAGGCAAAAAGAAATACTGAGAGGAAATCAACTCTGGAAAGTTGCATCATCACTTGTGAGTTCTCTTAAACCATGAAGTGTTGGTAATTAAAACATGAGTATATGAATCGATGTGTCCTGTGGCAGAAAGAATTCATATCGAACAAAAATGTGACTGATGAATTCTTGAGTCCTAAAGCACAAGAAGCAGGTGTAACTTGGGGGTAAATCTGTCAGTCCTCTGCTGGCATAAAGGCTCAAGTGAGTCTTAGTTTGATGATTAAATCTAAACACAGACCTACCTACCATAATGCCTACATTTAAATTATTTCAATTCAAAGGATTTAAATTTAGTGGGGATAATGGCATTACAGAGGATCAGTATAGCTTATTGTTATTTTATGTAAAGCCAGGTTTCTAAGCAGTTTGTGAACAAAGGGACTATTAAACCATAACAATATTTTAATTTTGTGAATCCAAGACCTGGGTGTTTTATATAAATCAGATTCGGAACTAACAAACAGGTAGAAGTAATGTTATTCAGGGAAAGTTTATTCTGCGTGCAAACAGTGTTAAAATTCCCTCTTACATTTAGATGTAGATCATTCAAAGCCTCTATCACTTGGTTTGCTAGGAAAGCAGGAGATTGATCTGACATTTGATTTATGCAATATCCATTCGCAGGAAACTCATTAAAATTTGAGGAGCACGCTGAGGTGCTGCTGACACTTAGATATTTTCCCTCCTTGCACAACATGCTGAGGAGGAGATGTGGTCATTTAAGGCAGTGAGTTCTTTATTCCCCTCAAAATGTAGGAAACGTAAGCATCACCCTTCCCACAGCTGCCAGAACAATACTGTCAGATCTGGGGAGGATTTAGGGCTCTACAAAAGATCTAAGAATGCACAAAAGAGCGTGGGCTGGTAAAGGAATGGTTTCTCAGGGAGGTGGGTTGACAGCTATTACATTCTGCTGCTCTGTGAAACCATTTGATTCATTCTCCTTGACTGCATCAGACCTTTATTTCTTCTCAAAAGCAACAAAGAGAAACCCTGATTAGTGTTTTGGGATCTTGAACTGTATCAGTGCAGCCTGTGCCATCAGAGAAAGTCTCACTGAACTGGTTACTACCTCACTGCTTGATAACTTCAAAGGCTTAAGTGACAGTTTGTGTGGAAGTGGATGAAATGAGCTCTCTGCTCTCATTACAGGGTGTCAGATGGTCCCTCTGCTCCCCGTCCATAATGCCCTGGTGCAGGACCTGGCAGCAGGAAGAGGAAACCGGGAAGAATCACAGCTCTTCCCTGAAGAGGCGTTCTTTGCACACTCATTGTGTTCACCTCCCATATCATTCTCCAGGCTTGGATCTGCTGACGAACTCCAGCCAAAAGTATGTTTTAGAGACATTAACTTGTGATAAATTTGGTGCAAATCAGCATCTGGTCAAAGAAAGATTTTTGTGGACAACACAGGTCTGTGCAATCATGGATGGTGATGAGGCCTCGTTATTTGTCCCATAGGAAAACTCACAGCATCAAAAAAAAAAATCACCAGATAAAAATTTTATGAAAATGAAAAGGGAACAACTTTTCCCACTGTGCATGAATCAGAAATTGTGGCTGCAGAACACGATGCCAGAACATAATGAGCTTAAAAAGCAGATGAATGAGAGGTTGGAAAACCAATTTAGCCCTATTAGGCACAACAAAATAGCCCGTGACTCAGGATGTCTGCCTGTGAACTGAAGCAGAGGGAGAATATGCAGGGGGGAAGTAAGATTGTGTGCACAGCCAGTTCTCAATCTTTAGTTCTCAGTTTTAGTCTTGTCACAGGAAAATGTTCTTGCACATTTCCGCAGCAGGGGCTGGGGTCAGTTTGAAAGAAACTGAAAGCTGTCCTGGAGAAAATAAATGTTTGCTGGGTCTGGAGGGAGAAAAAGGCACAGAGCCCGGGACTCCAGTGAGAAAATAGAATATCTAAGTGGATGTTCAAGTTATAAAAATTCCCAGTGAGGCAGCCAGCAGGAAGTACTAAACGAACCCTGGGAAGCCCTTGGAGAGCTGGTGGATGCCACCACACCTTCTGTACAGAGGTGTGATGGTGTTAGGTTGTTTGCTGGGGATATCTGGAGATAACCAGAGAGACTCTGACCCAGTTTCTTCTAATTTCAGAGCCTGTCAAGCCTCCTGCTAACGCCATTCCAGAAATGCTGATGACTCCATCTTTCCCGGGCGAAGGGGGCTGGAATCTCCAAGGACAACCATTTCCCCAGCTACGTCTTTGGGTAAGCAGATTAATTCAGAGCACGGTCACAGGATTTGAGCATGCTTTTGGCAAAGCCAAGCAGGCATGAATCAGGTTCTGCACCCATCCCTTGCAATGCTGCTGAGCAGGAAAACACGTGGGGGTTGTAGATAGTGGTATCACATCAACAGTCGACACCCACCGGATTGTCCTGCAGAGCCCTCTCTGCAGATTACAAGCTGTTTTTTTCTGCTCTTTTTGTTCCAGACAGATTGTCTTTCTCACTTGAATTTTTAAGCCCCCTTAGTTCTTTCCCCCAGTTCTTGCCCAGCAGAAGGGCAGCTGATGGCTTTGGACCATGGCTCAGTTTTCCACTGGGCTTGGCCTCATTGTAACAACATATAAAAGTAGCAAAAACATCTTTTCTCTCTCCCTGGGATCTCTCTGAATTTACAGGGCTACTGTGTTCTTTAATTGGAACATTCCTTCTACCCTAAACAGGCTTTCTGACAGTTATATTTCCGAGGCTGTTAATTTACAGTCATTGTTTCACCTTGAGCTCTTCTTAATGGGGCACCTGAGACAATAATAAACCAATTTAGAGTTCCTTGAGTCTCAGTGTTAGTCAGCAGGACTGGCATTGCCATAATCACGCCCCTGACACAATTACAGTTATTATCCCCATGATTCCAGGACACGGGCACAAACAACGTGCCACGTTAGCCCAAATGAATCCTGGATAGCTCTGAGTTGGCTCCATGAGATGCTCTCGGAGGGCTGTTAATCTGCTGGGTGTCTCCATAACATCCCATGAGAGAGGCTGCTGCTGTAGAAACGTGCCAGAAAGTGTCCCGTCCAGATTCCATGCACAAAACCCGGAGCTAAAGATAAGTCATTCTTTAGCAGGAGAGAAAGGATTGGTTGCTTGAGGGAATGTTTAAGTGAGCTTGTTTCTCTTCCAGAATCCATAAATATTTAAATGCTTCAGATCCACGAGTCCAAACAGTGAGCACTCAGTCCACCCCAAGAATCACAGCCTGAACAAGCGCTGGAGGTAAGGCCATGATAAACACAACAGTTATTTGTGCTGAACGCTGCTCAAAACAAGGCTGGAAACCTGAGCAAAGGGGTTTGGCTGTTATTTGATTTATCCTAGCTTGGGGGAACAAATCTTATAGGTTTTTTTTCTTTTAATAGACATTGCCAATGGCTCCTCTTGATGATGAATAGGACTGTGAACTGCAGATGAATCTGCAACAGACACGCTGGCCACTGAAAAACCAATAAATACGACCAGCTACCCAAGCACTTGGGTTAAGTGTGCCCCAGTCCTGCCCTGGCAAACACAGGCAGCTGTTTGGAACACCCCAGTCCAGAACGAGCAGATTCTGTGGGAGTGACTGCAGGCTCCAAGGGACTGTGTTTCCTTCAGTCCCTGGAACAGCAGAATCCCTAGGACTGACCTTTGGGAGTTCACTGTCGTCACATGCTCCTCTGCAGCTGGGTTCTGTTTGGCAAGACGCTGAGACACTAAAATCCATCTCAGTGGTTCAAAATGAAAAAGGGAAATTAAAAAAAAAAAAAAAGTAATGTCTCTTTCCCCGAAGTTGGCTGTATTTCTGTCATGTCCAGGGAATTATTATGTATTTCAAATGGCTGTGAGTAATTTGGAAGGAGCCTCTTACAGTGAGGCTCAAGTCTGTTGCTTTTTTCCCCTGCAGGCACAAAAGTTTCCAGGGATATCTTTGGGAGTTTGAGACATGTGGAGGAAACAGACTGCCAAAGGCAGATTCTCTTGTATGTGGATTTGAGGCAATTTTGCTTTCCAAATCTCAGGCAATAAGGCACATAAAGAGAACAAATCCAGGAAGTGGAGAGGGAGAGCAAGCTTTGCTGTAAATTAATTTATTTCACCAAGGAGGATTTAGGTCCTGTTTTTGTACAAGCAGTGACTGTCCACTGTAAGAACAGTAACCCACTAACTTCAGCTGGGAAAGAGTGGAGGCCAAACTGTTTTTGTGAATGGCTGTAACTGAGGATGGGTTTGAACCTCATGAACCACTGAGAATGTAAAGTGGAGGATAACAATGTTGCACATATCTGGTCAGCCTTGCCTAGGCAGTAAAGCTTTACAATTACACAGGTGCCCATAACAACACTTTAGCCCCTTCCCAAGTGCCTCTTGTTTCTGCTCAGCAGAGGCTGAACTGAAAAATGTTCCACTTCTATTAGAACACAGAGATTTAACCAGGCATTACAGAAACAGCACAGAGAGTTCAGCCTGTGCATCGTAGGTGACACTGAACCCACCTCCCCATCCAGCTTGAAACATGTCACAGAGTATTTAGGCAGCCTTATTTTAGGGACCTAAAATTAGTTCCTCTGAATCACGCTTTAGGAGAGCCTATTTCTGTCCCATACTACACAGGAAGCCCAAGTTCCTTGGCACCTCATTCAGATGCTGAAATCCTTCCTGTCCTCATCCCCCAAACAGTCTCTGTAAAAGAGAACTTTATGCAATAGGCACGTTTCTAAGTTGTCCCTTTGGCACCTTTCAGTGCCAGCTTTGGATGACTGACCAATTTAGAAACACTGGGATGAGGGAAAGTCTGAGGAGCCTCATCAAAAAGCAAGTTATTCCTCTTTATTTCTGTGATGGGGCTTTGTGAGATATGGGAGGTCACAGACCAGGGCAGGGAGGATACAGGTAACACGAAGCTCCTGTTGGATTGGCTATTCTTTTCCAAACTGTAAAATCACTGAATGGTTTGGGTTGGAAGGGACTTTAAAGATTCTCCAGTCCCACCTCCTGCCATGGTTGCTCCAACCTGGCCTTGGACACTTCCAGGGATGGGGCAGCCACAGCTTCTGTGGGCAACCTGTGCCAGGGTTCCTTTGTAAGAAAAGCAGTTTCTGGAGAGCTGAGATGGTGGAAGGCAGGGTTAAGGCTGAGTGACAAGCTCCCAAATCCCTGTGCCGGTGCTGGGGTCGGCTGCCCCAGGCACCATCCAAGGAGGGAATGTGTGAACAACCCCCCGGCGTGCCCTGAGCCACTGTCACCACTCCAAACTGCTCATGAATGGAAAGGTTGTATTTTTTTCACAGCTACAACACTCGGCTTCATCGATTCTCAGGATTTAGTGCCAAAACCAACAGGTGGCACCCATATTTGGGTTGCTGGCAACTCACATTCTTCCTCCTACTTAATAAGAGAGGAAAGAGCTGTTGATGCAAGAAGCACAGACGGGTCCTGTGTTGTTAGAGGCCCGTCCTCCATCATGTGACTCGGGAACCAAATGTGCTCTCACACACGGCTGCAGCCAAAACACATTGCAAGCCTGAAGAACGCATTTATTTTTGACTCACTGGGCAAAATTTATCGTTCTTATTCCCATTTTATAAAGCGGGATGGCAGCATAACGGGGAAAGGCAAAAGGATAAGTTTTTAAATAATTATTAAATGTAATTATTGAATTGATCAGTATGCAGAAAATACGTTCAAGATGCAAGTACTCTATGTCTGCTTACTATTGTAATTGTGAGTGGACTGGGAATCTCCTTTGCCCTTGTTTCAGACTGTGAAAAGAGGAATCATTCCTGAGAAGGAGGAGGTAGTAGGATGACTGTCTGAGGTGCACACTTGGCATGTTTTCCCCCCAAAGGTAAGTGTTTCATTCTGGTGGAAGGCACTTGCGTGTCTGAGGTTACAGATGAGGAGGTGGATTGTTGGTGCGGACAAAATATGCTCCCTGAGGTCAGAGGTGCTCACTCACATTGCACAATACTCCAAAATGTGTGAAAAATCAAGCTTCAGTTTCAACTTGAGTCAGAAAGGGGAGGAGTTATTTTTTTATAACATGCCTATGAAGCAACAGAATGCAGCTTCCTTATGCATCTGCCAACTTCAATTGCAGAAAATTGGAGTATAATTTGGATTTTATTTTCCTCCAAGTCCAAACAAACTCTGCCCGCTTCAAATTTAATAAACTTTCCCCAATTGGAAATGCCTGTTCGAACAAACCACCATGGCAACTACATATTGAGTGAGACACAAAATAAGTAATTTTAGACTTTTCAGTTTCACTACACATATATTTTCACTTATCCACGGCTATTGTTTTTTTTTATTACAGCTTCTGGGCCAGTTATCCAATTTACCCTTGCGTGAATTGGTGATAAAACTATTCATTTCATATTAATTTTGCTTGTTGTTTTCACCAGCAAAACACCAAATCAAAGTGTTCTTTATCCCCATAGAAATTTGAGCATGACCAAGTTTCATTTGTAATTGAGGCCAGAAAAGGGGAGAGAGAGTTGTTTTGCCTCATGTAGATATGAGGCAACAGAATTGTAAAGCCCCTGTGAAAGATGGCAGCAAACACCTTCCAAATCACAACAAAAACCATAACAAAGTCCAGCTATTTTGTAATCGTGTAAAAGTTGATATGCAATCTTCAGGATCACGTGGTCCCAGTTCTTCTAGGAATTGGGGGCTGTTTCCAAAGTCTGGGACGCTACACAAAATTACTGAGCTTCCTTTGTTAAAAACACAGCTCTAGGAGGGTGAGGAGTGTAGATGGTGCGAGTGCACTCCTCGGGGAAATGCCATGATGATGCCTTTGCTTGTCATATTTAGGTTTCCTGTGGCATCTCTCCTCCCCTTAATGTGTTCCAGCATTTAATTAGCCATCTTTTTTTTTTTTTTCCGTTTTTTTAAATTTTAAGCAGAGCTAGTTTGAGCATAAAGATCGTAAAACAGGATTTGCCCTTGTCAGTAGCTTTAAATCTAATCAGTTTGCAGCTGTTGTATGGCCACGATATAATTCTTGAGGGAAATTCAATTAACAATTCTATTGAGGACAGCTGGAGATAACAGCTATCAGCAGTACCGGCGGCGTTATCACATATCCATCAGCGTTTATCCCACACCCACGGCCCGCGGGCGAGCTCTGCCCTCCCGACTGGCGTTATTATTTCAAATAAGCCTCTTAGGCGGCCGCGCAATCTGCTATCAACCCGCGGGGCTAATTACGGAATCACCGCATCAATTAGGCCGGGAGAGACCTGTGACCCCGCAGGGCCGTGCCAGGCGGGCCGTGCCGTGCCGTGCCGTGCCAGCCGAGCGCTCCCAGTGCCACCCTGAGCTCCTCCGGGGACGGCGCCTCGTCTCCAGCGCCCGACGCTAGGGTTTTCGGGCGAAGAGCGCCGGGCGGTGATCGCTCTCCCTCAGCTACGTGTGCGGGCGGCGGCAGCTCCTTGGGAAGGGCTTTCGGGCCGCCCGCGGAGCGCGGGGGCTGAGCCCGGGCGGGCGGCGCGGCCCCTCCGCCGGCTCCCCGCGCAGGGGCTGCCCCGCGTCCCCGCCGCGCCCCGGCCGTGCCGCTGCCCCGGCGGTAGCGCTGCCCCTTTCCCGGCCGTGCCGCTGCCCCTTTCCCGGCCGTGCCGCTGCCCTGCCCGGCGCTCCCGGAGCCGCCCCGTGGCCCCTTCCGGCGGAAGTGAGCGGAGCGGGGCGGGCGGGGCGCGGCGGCCGCGGTCACCACCGGCCCTCCCGGGCAGCGCCGACATGGCCCGGCCGCCGCAGAAGGAGATCGTCTACAACAAGCTGCTGCCCTACGGCGAGCGCCTGGAGGCCGAGGCCGCCCTCTTCCTCCAGCACATCAAGGGCAACCTGGCCCGCGCCGTGCAGCTGCAGGAGCTCTGGCCCGGCGGGCTCTTCTGGACCAGGAAGCTCTCGACGTGAGTGCCGGGGCGGGACGGGCACGGGCAGCGGGGCCTCGGGCTGCGAGCGGGCGCGGCAGACCCTTCCCCTCCCCTCTCTTCCCCTCCCGTCCCCCTCTCCCCGTCCCTCCGGGCCGCCTCCCGCATAACGGTGCTGCGGGCGCCGCTCGGGCACAGCCCGCTGTCCCGGCCGGCCGGCGCCTCCGGCCGCTGCCCCGGCCCCGCTTACACAAGGCCCGCCAGCGCTGCCACATCCCAAACGGGGACAAAGGTGGCAAGAGCTCGCAAGAGCTCGCCCGCCGCTCGGAAACTTCCCGGTTTTAAGAACTGAGCGCTCGCGCGTTTGTTTGTTCTGCTGTTTTTAATATTTTTCTTCCTACTCGGCCACCTGTTTCACCTCCTGCCTTCTTAGGAAAGTTGTGGTTGGTGCCATCGCTGTGTAACTTCTGCTGTAGGGGCGCAAAGTCTTTCGCTGGACGGGTGATTTGTTGGGTCAGTGCTGGCAGGATTAAATTCTGGCTTAATGCTGTGTAAACACCCCTGGTGCCCTTGATATCTTGGCTGTACTGTGGCTCGGTGTAGTTTGTGCTGGTTTTGGCTCTGCTGTGCGTGCTGGGAAGTGGTTTTGATACAGATAAAGCCCCGTTGGTTTCATAGATAGCACCGGGTGCTACATAAGGGTTTCTCTTGGTGAGTTTTATGAGATGTGCTTGGCCCTCTTTCTTTTTGGACACTCTGGCACTGGATGTGGCATCATATGACAGTGACTCCTGCAGCTTCAATCAGTAACTTCTGTGGACGTTTGTCACATTATTTTGCCGAATGCCTTGTGTGCCTTTATAACCAGTGCTCCCTACGTGCCAGGAGCAATGGAATACCTGTGTTCTGGACCATTTCCAGATCTTCACTTACAGCTTCCCTCCTTCCATAAGCCATTTCTTTAACCTTAGCAAGGGATTTCGTACGCATTTGCCAGCCCAGCCTGGCAGAGAGGACTATATTGAAATGTAAGTGCCTTTCTGTTTCCCAAGAGGCAGCCTTAGATAGAATTACAGTGGTGGTTGCAAAATGACTCACATGTTTGGTTGTGTGACAGTTTGAACCTGCTTGGAACCAGTTCAACGCTGTTTCCCTTCCTACCTTCCCCCAGCCATCTGCTGCCTCACTCTCACTGGGGTCAGAGGTACCTGTTGCCTGGACCTGTGGTAGAGCTTCCTGTACCCCTCAAGTTAAAATGAGCTTAGGAGTTCTCACCGTGGGGAAGATGGGCGTGAACTGTTGAATTGTGGCTAAAAAGGCACAGAAGCCCTTTCAGAGTGTGCCAGGCTGTGTTGGAATCACCCCGTTACTCACTCTGTAAATGACAATTGCTGTTCCCACTTCAGGCTCCAGGGCACTGAATTTGGCCTGCTGAGAATGAATGGCTGCTGCGCTGCTTTATGAATCACAGGAAGGTCAGCGGGCTCTAATTTGTGGTTTTCCACCTACTCTTTGAAGTTTGAGTTCATTGTGCGTGTGTGCAGCTTGTCTGATGCCTGTTAGTACCAAGATTCCTGGGTGGCACATTAGGTGCAGCGAGGCTCTGAGCGTGTTTGGTGTGGGCAGGGAAGGAAACAGTGGGCTTGGAGTAAAAAATGAGCTGGTGTAGTTAACGTGAGAGATGTGGTGCTGCTTAGTTTGACTTGAGAAAGTACTTCTGTGGGATGAAAGGCTGAGAGGATTGGGATTGTTCAGCCTGGAAAAGGCCCAGGGATGACTGAATTTGGCCTTCCAGAGAAGCTGTGGCCACCCCATCCCTGGGAGTGTCCAAGGCCAGGTTGGACGGGGCTTGGAGCGACCTGGGCTGCTGGAAGGTGTCCCTGCCCGTGGCAGGGGGTGGCACTGGGTGGGCTTTAAGGTCCCTTCCAACCCAAACCTTCTGGGATTCTGAGAAATACATCCATAAAAGTTTAGGCCTGGGTAAAACACTTCCAGACATGTGGTGTCCTGATGTCACACCTAAATTAAATTACAGAATAATGACAAGAAAATTTGAGTTT